CACAGCCGAATGAGCGGTAAGCTAGTCAAGGGAGACTGGAAGGCAGAGCCAGGCCGGCAGAGGTAAGAGTATGCGTGCTGGGGTAAGAGTACACCTCGGGATCCTCAGATGCAAATTCATGTAGTTTAGACCAAGGAGCAAAGATGATAGCTGAGGTTAATATTTCTAGCCCCGTTTTAATGTGGAAAAATTCATTTGCAATCAAGCCGGATGAGAAATAGGCTAGCTATTATGAGCACCTAGATGGCTTTACTTCAAGTTAGCTTTTGGAAACTTTGACTTTCCAACTCTACGAAATCCTATGTTTTTCTGTAGTTTCAAGGCAAACGTAATTTTAAAAATATAATCAAAGCACAATTGGACTACAGAAACCTTCAAGTTTCTCCAAAAACTATGATAGAAAGGAACAGAAAAGGTCCATAGTTATGTTTGAGTCTTGAGAAGTGACCTGGGGCTCCTGTCTGCTCGCGTCTTGTGGTTCAGAATTTCTTGGGACCTCTAAGTCATTTCTTTATTAGTAACTTAAGATACGAAATGGATTCATGGACACAGAATGAAAGAAAGCATCAGAGATCACGTTCTCACGGCAATGAACTCTCTATAAGAAGCCTGTGAGGAACTGTCACCCTGCAGCTTGGTGTCGCCTGGAAGGACAGTGTTGGTAGGGACCAGACTTCCTGGCTGGGCCTAAGAGGCACCAAAGAAGGGAAATTTATGATCCTTGCTCATAATAGAGTACTATACAAATGCTAGAACTAAAAAATGGATGGCATTGTATGTTATATTCCCTCGAAATAGTATAAAAGATGTTTTAAAGGAAGATATTTGTATTTTGAAACTGTACTCGAATTGCTCATTTCAGCTCTTGTCTTCACATCCCCTAGTATCTTGGTACTATCATTACCCTCCAATGAAAAGGAGGAGTACAGTTTAGCAGTCCAATAGGGACTTCCCCTTGGACGGAAGTGGACGCAAATTTGGGTGGTTTTTTTTGTTGTTAATTACCTTATTTTTAGTTATGTAAAGGTATGTGGAGACTGGTAGGTGCATGTGTGAGTTCAGCTTCCCCTGGAGTCAGAAGAGGTCATCAGACGCCCTGGAGCTGGAGTTACAGGTGGTTGTGAGCCACCCAGCATGGGGGGTGTAATATTAAGCTGGGGGCATTACCCCAGCCCTCTAACACCTCTATATCCAAGAAGTCTGGGATGATTGGAAGCCCCTGGCCTGGCAGTTGCCCTGGCTTGGACTCCAACTCCCAGCCTGCCAAGCGGTGACCCCTCTCCAGGGAAGGTCAGGACCACTCCCCCAGGATATTTAGGCTTGTGCAGGAAAGAACACTTGGTTTTTGGGTTTGTGTGGATGACTCCCCCACCTTCCTTTGCCATGCACTCCTGGCCACCCGAGAGTGCAACATTTATTAAACATGGGCATTTTAATTTGGCTTATCTGGTCTGATTGGATTTCTTGGTGCTGGCGGAAGGCTCGTTTTAGGAAATATTCCTAACAATGAGTACTGGAAAGCATATGTGGGTCCTCTGAGAGAGCAGTACAGTCTTAATTGCTGAGTCGCCTCCCACTCTGGACATTCATTTCTTAACTGGAGAAATAAACCCCTTCTAGGACTAAGGATTTGAAGGGACAAGTTGGCACCATGCTGGCCCTATGATAGGCTAGAGAGGAAACCGGGGTTTCAGACCAGCAGTTGACAGCAAACGCCATTCTGTACACGAACAAGCACGAGCATTCTCTATGAAAAGAGAAACGTGGAAATCTCACGAAAAGTGGTGGTGAATAAAGCCGAACCAATTGCTCGCTCTGCTCTGGTTTAGGAGGAAGCAGAAGCAACGCAAGAGACGCACTAGGCCAAGAGACCACTTCTGTCCCCTTGTGCTGTCCCTTCCTCAGGGGACAAGGAAGCCTTGTGCTTCTGTCAAGTTGCTGTGCTATCAGTGAGGAGGAAGACACGGGCCTTCTTCCTCGGTGTCAGGAGTCCCTGGCCGGGCAGGAACAGACCACTCAAAGTCACGTGTGAACACAGATGACCCGCAGGGTCTATTCCGCATGACATCAAGATCCAGAAGCCTAGCTCAGCTTTTAGGACGGTGCTATTGGAATTGCTGTGGACGTCCAGATGTCCTGAGGGAGGCTCACCAGCCATCAGGATTGTCCTCCCCACGGGGACTGAGGGACCCTGGCTCCGAAAGCTTGCTCTCAGCTTCCCTGCTGCGAGGCCAGCATTTAGCCTTCCGCTGTTCCCATCTGGTGATGCCGGCCTGCCAGTCAGAGGACCAAAGACAACAGGTCTACCAGATCGAGGACTAGAAACACGAAAAGCAACGTAATTTTTTTTTCTTTATAAATCAGTTATCTCGGGTATCTTGTTATAACGACAGCTGACTAACACAACCTATCAAAAATATCACTTAGAGCTGAGATTTAAAAGAAAATCACAATTTAGACTCCACCCCCTATATTTGTGGGAACGTTCCTGACAACGCAGGTTTTTTTAGCTCTATGAAACAGAATGTTCTCTCAGATACATGGACTTCTCCTTTAAGTTGTCAGGCTAAGCAAACGATAGCCCGGAGTGACCCACACCGGGTAGGGGAAGCAACATTATCTCATCGACTCAAGTTCCTGCTTCATTTGGCCGGTCATGCTTACTGATGCTTCCCATGGCCACAATCTGCCGAGGCTCAAATCATGCATAGATGGAAACAGCTCAAAGAAAATATGAAGTCATTTCTCCGTGAGAGATTGCCATGTGAGCTCTACGCAGAACTCTGGTTAACTGGGGACCCTGACGGCCACGGAGAAAGTTAAAATCCTCCATCGGCTTAGCAATAAAAAGCAGAAAGAAAACAAAACAAGGCCTATGTTGGATGTTATCAGCTGGAGCCTCCCACCGTCCCTTTAATACGTTTGCTAACGTTCTAAGCCATTACAGGCATGTGGTAAGTCAGGTGCTCGGTTCAGGCCAATTATCCTGCAGCTCCCCTGGGATGGAAAGATATGCTAATTACTTTAAATAATCAGCTAGCATGCAGAGGAAAAGCACAAAACTTAAGCATTCACACTCTGAGTCTGTTTTGTGGGGGATGGGGTTCATTAGAAGACCTCCCCCCTGCCATGTGTAGGTGTGTACAGGAAGTAAAACTGAGAGAAATTAGAACTGTCTTTCCCTCACGATTAACAAGGCAGGAAGAAGTTGTTTTGCAGGGAGGAGGTCCAGAATCCCCAGGATTCTTAATTCGAATAGAAGGTTGAACTGACTAACTCACTTCTGCAGTTTTATTCATCTCTAGGGGACCCTGGATTGCCGAGGAGACACCCAAAGGAAGAGACATTCAAAATCCAGAGTTGTATTGTCTTAATAATTTTTTCGGTGGTCAAGAACAGTCTGCTTAGGTGAAGAAGGCTCTGGGACTCCACTTTGGGAACCCACAGTGTGAACTAGGATTCTAACATAGCCATCATTTGCATGCTTTAAAATTTTGCCTAATTTCTCATCTTCAGAAACACGAAGTTTCTGGGGATAAGGGCTGCATAATAATATTGGCAATTTATTCACGGTATAGAAGGAGCTTTTAGATGTCTGAGCAGCAAGGGACAGACCTCATGGGATGGGTGAGCTAGACACGATCCCTATCAGAAAGGATCTAAGGACCTAACTGAGAAATGAGAACTTGAAAATTCAAAACAGAGCAAGAAAGTCGCTTAGTCAGGAATGCAAAGAACGATTCCGGACATCACACGATTAACTACCAAATTGGTGTCTGCTCAGGCTATTACACCGGGCCGTGCTGGACAACTGCATGGAGAGGCTCAAAACAAACACTGCCTGAACTTGACCCATGCTTCTTGGATGGCATTTCTGGAGAGGGTAAGGAAGGAAGAGGAGAGACAGATAGATGGACAGATGGACAGATGGACAGATGGACGGACAGATAGACGGATAGATAGATAGATAGATAGATAGATAGATAGATAGATAGATAGAT